AGCACAACTTGGGGGGGCTGGGTTGCCTCGCGCCCCCCCTGGAATTTCTTCACGGCCCCCAGTTTGGGAACCCATGCTCTAGAAAGACCAGTGTTTCTCAACCATGGTACCAGTACCCTGAGGGGTACTCGAGAGACGTCCTGGGTGGAGGGGGGAATACGTCAACACAGCAGAAATGTGGAGAAAACCGAATGTTTGTATTAACAACTTGGGGGGGCTGGGTTGCCTCGCGCCCCCCCTGGAATTTCTTCACGGCCCCCAGTTTGGGAACCCATGCTCTAGAAAGACCAGTGTTTCTCAACCATGGTACCAGTACCCTGAGGGGTACTCGAGAGACGTCCTGGGTGGAGGGGGGAATACGTCAACACAGCAGAAATGTGGAGAAAACCGAATGTTTGTATTAACTTTTACAGCACTTCCTTCTTTTTGTGCTTTTTACGCCCAAACATTTCATCTCCTGCCCGGCTCCGATGAAGTTGTTTAAACAAACGTGTTGCAATGGGAGAAAAAAAATGTGTGTGTCTGAGAACTGTAGGTACTGGGGGTACTTCTAATTTTTTGAAAGGGGGCACTTTATAAGAAAAGGTGGAGAAACGCTGCTCTAGGCCGCCAGCTGGAGAATCCAAGCTCTGAGACCCTGCCCGGACCCTGGGGTCTGACTGCGCCTTCCTTTGAAAAGTCCTGTCTTTTCTCTGAGCCCAGCCAAGAGCCGCGGGGCCCCCGGCTTGTGGGGGGATATGTTGGGACACAGAGCAGGGCACCGCTGGGCGAGGGGCAGCGTGGAGGGCATCCCCGGAACATGGCTTTGTGTTATCAGCCCTGCTTAACTAAACACCCTCCGAGAGCCCGGCCAGCGTGGGGCTTGCCAGGGTTACCCAACCCGCGCTGGGTGCATCGATTGCCAGGGCGGGCCAGAAGGCAGCAGGCAGGTTTCAGGTAAGAGGAAACTCATTCCTGGAATTTGCCACAAAAAATCCCCCTGCAGGGATGCGAGGAAGTGTCCCCCAGGGCTCCCCATGCCAGATGGAGCATGGGAACTGGCTGTTCAGGGAGCGCTCGGGTGCTCCAGTCCCAGCAGGAGGCGCTGCAGGGAGCAGGGCAGAACAGCAGAGGGGGAGCTCAGAGCCCTCTCCCAAGAGGGCAGGAAAGCAAGTGTGGGCAGCTGGGGGAGAGCACCGGGCAAGGCCAGCCCCAGCAGGGGGCGCTCTGGGGGAGAGCCCCTGGCAAGGCCAGCCCCAGCAGGGGGCGCTCTGGGGGAAAGCCTCTGGCAAGGCCAGCCCCAGCAGGGGGCGCTCTGGGGCAAAGCCTCTGGCAAGGCCAGCCCCAGCAGGGGGCGCTCTGGGGCAAAGCCTCTGGCAAGGCCAGCCCCAGCAGGGGGCGCTCTGGGGCAAAGCCTCTGGCAAGGCCAGCCCCAGCAGGGGGCGCTCTGGGGCAAAGCCTCTGGCAAGGCCAGCCCCAGCAGGGGGCGCTCTGGGGCAAAGCCTCTGGCAAGGCCAGCCCCAGCAGGGGGCGCTCTGGGGAAGGGCCGGCCCCTGCAAAGTAGCTGGGATTTCCCAACCTGCGGGAACTTGCAGCCCAGAACCCTCAATCCAAGTCCAGCTCACGCTCTTAGTTTCTTTTGATCTTTTATTGAACCCCGGCTACAACCGCAAGAGGAGGCAAAGTGGGGGTGACCCAACTGGACGCGCGCGCGCGTGTGTGTGTGTGGTGTGGGGTTTGTCATCTGGTTCCTCATAAATCGAAACTCAGCCTCCAATCCCAGCATGCCCCAGGACCCTGGAGTTCACCTCTGCCCCTCCCCGGGGTGGGGGGCACCGCCAGCATGACAGACATTTCCACAGCCCGATCCCTGCAGTCCTCACTCGGGCAGGGCTCCCAGGTTGCTGAGCAGCTGCAGGGCAGGGAACTGTGGGTTTCTACTTTCAGCCACCATCCCAGGGCTGGACCCTCCGTGGGTGCCAACCGGCATGGCCCCGACGCCCGCTGCGGGTCGAGTGCCAACCTGCGGCGCCATGCGCTGCCCCCTGCCCGCCTCTAGCACAGGGAGCTGATCTCGCTCTTGCTGCACCCCCACTTGCAGCAGGAGGTGCTCAGCCCCGTCGTGACGTCCCGGGCGGCGCGCTCCAAAGGCCAGCTGTCCTCGGAGAGGCTGCGGCCCGGTCTGCCTCGCCACCTCTCGTGGTAGTCGGAGGAGAGGGGCAGCATCCCGGGCAGGCGGCTGACGTCCCACTCGCTGGAGGCAGCTTCTGTGGAGTCTTCCCCGCCAGGGGGGCCGCTCAGGATCTCGAGGTCACCTGCAGTGGGAGGGAAGGGGTTAATGTGCAAAGAGCAAGTGAGGAAGACCAGGGACCGCACCCAGGAAGGTTACAACTTCCTGTAGACGGCAAGGCGAGTTCCCCCTACTCTGGGAGCATTGACCTCTCTGCTTGAGTTGAAGGGAAAATCTCCCTCTTACTGGTAGCAGTATGGGGCCTATGACTCACAGGTGAGCCGTGCGGAGTCCAGCCAGCAGGGGTGGCCACACACCACTGACACTATTTCAGTCTCTGCCTTCTCGTTCTGATACGTGAGGGATTCTTACATTTTGGGGGTTTTTTTTTGCCCCCTTTGAAACTATTTCAGGCTGGTCCTGGGTCCCCCTAGCAGGGCCAGTGGCTGAGCTGGAAATAGCAGCCAAGGCTCAGGCTAGTGCCTTAACCACCAGCCAACCCTTCAAGTCCCGCGGCTCACTGGAGGGGACAGTCCTGGCCAGCTACATCCCAGTCCTGCCACCTTTGCTGCCGGGGAAGGTAGCAGGGCTGGGTGGCACTGGGGCTCACAACACCCCCCAGCACCTCCAGTCGGCTGCAAAGGCCAAGAGGGGTTAGAGCGCCCCCTTCTGGCAGGGCAGCACCTGCCGCGGGAACAGCAGAGAAGTTCCAAGTAGCAAATCCAACCCTAACCCCCATATCCCTTGCTGGCCTCAGCCTGGCTCCTCTCACGGAGCAGGCAATAGGGATCAGCTCCTCTTCCTCCAGCTGACTGAGCCCATGAGGCATGGCAACCCCCATTCCTGGCCCTGTGTGCTCCCCATTGCAGATCTCCCTGGCCGGTGGGCGACGAGGGGGAAAGGGGCAGAAAATTCCCCAGGGGGAAAAAATTGCTGTTAGCTGCTGACTTCTCGCTGGAGCAACTCTGATCTGGGAGCTGCTGGGGGGGGGGGGGTTAACCTGGGCGACCCAGGCTCCCTGTGCTGCCCCTACTAACTGAACGGTGACCCACAACCCACCCCTGCAGCGCTGGGGGAGCAGACAGTCACTTCTGGATGGTGCCTAAACAAAGCATGCTGCCCCCAATGTTTCCTCATGTCTCATCCCCTTCCCCACTTGCCGGGGAGTAAAGGAGGGACATGGAGCCCTGTTTTCCAGAGGGGGAAACTGAGGCACGGGGCAGGGGAGTGAGCTGGCAAGCTGCAAGCCAGTGGCAGAGCTAAGACTAGAACCCAGGAGTCCTGAGGCCCAGCTCCCCGCCCCGTGCCAACCAGAAGACCCTGCTCCCCTCCCAGTGGGAATCCAGGCAGGGACCCCCCCATCCTTCTCACCTGTCCGTCTCCAGCGGGAGCCCCCACAGGTGAAGATGACGGCCCGGATGAACTCCCGGCCGCACAGCTTGACGCCATAGGGTGGGTTCCGGCCCAGGGCCCCCAGCCTCAGTTCCCAGAGCAGCGTCCCGAACGCCAGGGCCAGGAGGAGCTTCGGCATGGCTGCTTGGCGTGGCGAGACGGGCGCCCAGGCCAGAGGAGCTCCCCGCTGCCTCCGGGGCCCTGCCGCGCCCCCCTTTATACCCACCC